TAGTTTTTCCCAATATAGATCTTTAAAAAAGAAGTACACCACTTTTGTAATAACTAGTTAATGATGTTTATTTGCTAAAGCTTTTATTTTTTGAATGAATATTGATATAAAAGAATTAAAATACCATTTTATAAAATTTAAGATACATTGCAAAACAAATAACAGAAAACAGAGTAAAAATAGTTAATTTATACAGTTAATGATTAGTCTTCAGTTGAATCTTACTCCATGATACAATTTTTCTTTGTCTAATCAATGATGGTAAGTTGAAATATAAGTAAAGAAGGTATATTAGGAAATATAATATGTAGTTCTTTCAAAAAAGAAATTAATGTAAAATCTCTGTGTAAGAGTAACATAATAGAATGTAAATACACTTAAACTTTGATTCTTCGACGAATAAAGAATTTGGACTAATGGATAAATGATTTTTTTATTAGATCAAACTATTAGAAATTAGAGAAAGGAAACAAATTTGGAAAGAAATATTTAATTTGTTTAAAAATCATTAAAATCATAAAAAGAAAACTAATAGAGTACTTTTCCAAATTGTGTTTGTATTGATATGACTTTAGCCTATAATAAGTTTTAAAAGAAATTGAATTCTAATGGAGAACATAATTATGAAGAAAATTTCAGGAAAAGAATGACATTTATACAATTTAAATAGATTACTATTAGCACTATGCTATTAATATGGAATATAGAATGATTAAAAGATGAACATTGTCAAATTTTTAGAATTGTTAACAATAATTAGCCCAAATGATAAAGATAGAGAATGTGATTGGAAATATTCTGCAACAAAAAAAAAAAAAAGGAGGATAACTGTGTATTGATCGATAAAAAAATCAAGAAAGACATAAGGGTAAGGCTAAATCCCCACCTACATAATCTAAATCCACACCCTTACAATCAAGTTAACCAAAAAGCCCATAGCATTTATTTGACTTGATAGAAACTTTTCAATAAAAATTAGACTTTTTTTTTTTGGTGAAAATGCATGGTGCTAATTTGGATTTAAAATTTACACTATTATGAATGGCTTAAAATTTCTAATAATTTTTTCTTTCACTTTGATGGCATTTATTTTTTCCTCTTATTTGTGAGAGGATGTTGTTATCTTTTTTTTTATCATGTAAAAGAGATAAGAGATTTTTTAATTGCACTAAGAAAATATTTATACCTTCTTAGCATGTTGCACTTCAAAGTTGATTGAAGTATAATTTTAAAAAAACATTAGCGGTAGGATGATGGTATCAAACAATTTCAATTAATTAAAATTTGTAATTGAATTTTTAAACATCTCTTGTTGTATGAAAGACAAATTTTTGTATTGAAAAAAGTTTCTATCAAACTCCCATGGGCTTTATTGTCATCCTAATGCTAGTGATATAGATTTAGATTGAGGGGATGTGGGTTTAACCCCACCCAAGATGTAATCAATATTAATGTATATAAAATAGAGAAGAAATTTAATGGAGATAAATCACACCTAACTTACCATAATATATGTGTATATGTGCATCCGTGTATGTACGAATGTATAAAAATTATATATGTTGTATGGTATACATACACATACAGTAGATACATTACATACATAATAAATATGTGTGTGTGTAGATTTTTTATGCACTATCAATGATTACACGGACGAATGTAGATGTATACCAAGTAATGAATTTAAATTTGAAATTCACTTTTGCATATATGGCATACACCTACACATGTAGTATAAGAAATTCCCAATATTGATAGTGCATGAAAATTTAATCCTATATATATATATATATATATATAACTATGTGTGTGTATGTCTTAAAATTACTAAATTGGAGGTCTCCAACCAATAAGGAAAAATTAAAATCCTATGCATTTCCAACCTAAATCCTTGACTATGCATCTGTCCATGTGTCATTCATGAGTGAATATACCTCATGAAAAAATCATTAGTTTTTATTTAAATTTGGAGTAAAAACTACAATGCTAGTGTAATTAACCTCAATATATAGGTCTCTTAGTTCATTTAGATGAAAAGAAGGGTCAATTTGGAGAGAATGTTGAGATTTTCCTTCATTTCGAAAATTAATGCTTAATTTCGAACTTTAGAAGATAAGAAAAAGAAAAGAAAAGATAAATTATGAAAGAAAAGAAAAGAAGAGAACAGGTATGATTTTCTTCTCAAGTTGATGGGGAGTTAGGAAAGAAAAGAAATCATTTTGAACACATTAGGTATTATGATTTTATTGTTTCATTTTATGGGTAAAGTTGGCATTTTAAAAATTTCCTTCATCTGGAGGCTTAGGTCTTGTTTGATAATCCAATTCAGCACTTAAATTTAATGAAATTAGATATTAACATATTTAGACTATTGGATAACTAAGAATTGAACATCTGAATTAACTAAGTGGCATTGAAATTTCTAGACAAAACTTGCTCTCAAAATTAAGTGATAAGTTATTTACTTATCACTGAATGTATATCACACACCCTTAGTTTGTATATCACTTAAGTGATATACATTAAGTAAATAACTTCAATTTTATAAAACACACCCTTAGTTTGGGAGCTCACGAGAGAAAAGAAAAGAAAAGAAAGCAAGTTATGATAGAAAAGTAACGAAGAGAAAAGATATGATTTTGTGTTCAAGTTGACTAGGAGTTTAAAAAAGAAAGAAATGATTAAATATCACCGTGAGTGATATCTCGCCTCCACACCCCCGAACCCCGCCTTGTCCTACTATCACCATGGGTGCACCCATCGCACCCCACTATCATTTTTATTTTTATTTAATTTTATTTTTTATGTATATATATATATATAATAGTTTTATTATTTATTTTTTTGAACTTTTAGCAAAAAATTGAATGTGAAATAAAGTTTAAATTATCACTTTGATCTTTTGAACTTATTTCTCCATATTTGATACGACATATAATCTAAATTAATTGCTATTATTTCTCTATATACAACATGCGATATGTGGGGGGAAAAATAAACAAACATAATAAGATAATCATTTTACCAAATAAATTGATAATAAAAAAATACATCATTTTATCATAATAAAATATCATGTTACTTGTTTCACACAGAAATATTTATACAATAATAATACCATAGCATTTTTTCATATTATAAATATAAAAACATGCATATATATCATATATTAAAACATAGGCGATTGTAGGACAGGAAATGCCTCATTTAAAGTGGGGACAAAGAATCCAATCCCCCACCCTGATCGTCCTGCATTTTTGCCTGCCCTATTACTTCCGGCGAGCAACCACCCCATTGTCATGCCTATTTACTACTGCTAACTCCTAAAGCTCCCAATCTTTTTATCTTCTCTTCTTTGTCTTTTCTAACTTAAACTTTCTTTTCTTTCCTTTCTCAAACCTCCCAAACCTAGGCATAATAGTTCTTTATGCAATTTTAGCAAAAACAACACAACTTGTGACTACTGTTTCTTTAGTTAATTTAGTTTTAAAAAAGCAAAAACTACAAAAAGAATAGAAAATTAATGGGATAATTCCTCACAGTTTCACTATCCTCTTCCGAGATTCTAAAAATATCACTAACTTAATTCAAAACTAATTTTCTTGTAACAATTTAGCCCAATTCAAAAATAGCAACAATAAAAAAATTATATTTGTTGTGAGAAGATTTGTGTATTCCAAAGTGCCTATTGTACTAGTTAGGTTATTTATTTGATCTAACTTATAAATTCACTTATGGGACCATTACTACACATGATTAATGAAAAATTTTCATCATCTACAAACAAAAAAATAACAACTTTCAAGATTTAACAAAGCAAAAGTTTTTTTCCATACCTTAAGATTTTTGTTATCGCTATGGTTATAAGGAGAATCAATCCAATTGAAAATTTCTTCATATTTGATTTCTTTTATTTGTCAAGTATATAAAGTGGAAAAGGGTTGCCTAGTATTGGACCACCATTTTAGAAGCCAAAATAGATTTTTTTTCAACATTTCAAATTACAGTTACTTAGTTTGTAAACAAATTAATTGTTTCTCATGTTTGAATCTTTTTATTTATCAGGTGCTCTATATCTAAGTCATTTTATTTGTCAAGGATATAAATTAGAAAAGATACACTTAGTATTGGCTCCCATTTAAGGTAACAAATTAATTAATTTTGTACATTCCAAATTATGGTTAACTAGTTAGCAAACATTTAACTGTTTCTCTCGATTGATGCTCTCCAGATGAACCCAAGATTTGTAGAGGTTAGCCTCATAGGGTTTCTTTCTACCTTTTTCCCATAATTTTTTGTTAGCTAGATCAAGGAAAGCACTGCTACTTTCTCATAAGTTGTCTCCCCAAGAAATCCTTTAGTGGATATCGGATCACTTACATCTTTCCACTACCAGATTCGAATTCCACTACAAGATTGGGAATCACATGCCTATCATCTGTTCCTGACGTACTGAATCAGCTTTTAGTCAATATTGTCACTAAGAGTCTCAACTTCAAGTTATTTACGGGGACTGATAGATTCCATTTATTTTAGACACCCCTTCTCTGACATCTTCTTCTTTGCCTAACTCCTATGGAGTGGTTCATGGCGGCGAATCCACTGCTAACATCTTTAAAAAAAAAAGGAGATTCCTGTATCTTTCTTATCGCCACTCCGATTACTTGAAAAATAGCCATTTGCTTTAAACCTCAACTTCTCAATTCACTTCGATTACAAAGACCTTTTATCCTTGGGCGCATGTCTTAGCAACACAAAATGAGGGTTTCGCTTGTTGCATAAAATAATCTAAGTTGTAAGAGTAGTAAAGTCATTTCACCATTAGCGATGTAAGAATTGAGTTCCAAATAACTGATAGAGGAGGTAAGTGAAGTTTTTAAAACCTCATAAGGGAATAGTGAAACTATTAGAAATCTCAAGGGAGGTCTCTTAAATTATCCGAAATTAATAATCCGATGAGTCCAGCCAGAATATATTAGGAGCACCGCCTATTTCTCCAAATATATATTAAGACTAGAATATAAGTAATATCCAACCGTCTCTTGTTCCTTTGGCATAAATTCCTTCTTTATTATCCCAAACACTCCCACACACTCAAACACGCGCATCAATTCCAATCTCTCCAAACTCAGAAAAATCTCCAAGAAATGTTGAGAAACGTGGCTAATCGGCTCGTTGGAACATTTTCAAGGCCGGCGGGGGCTCCGGCGACTGGGGCGTGCTGCAGCTCCAGAGGTTGTACCATGAGAGAGTCGTGGACCATTACAACAATCCTAGAAACGTCGGGGCCTTCGACAAGACTGATCCGACAGTCGGCACCGGGCTCGTCGGCGCTCCGGCTTGTGGCGATGTTATGAAGCTTCAAATTAAAGTCGACGAGGAGACGGGAAAGATTACTGATGCTTGTTTCAAGACTTTCGGCTGCGGCTCGGCTATCGCCTCGTCTTCCGTTGGTTCGTATATCCGCTGATTGAATTTCTCGATTTCTTTGCGTGTGTATTATTTTATTAATATTATTGTGATTATTCCTTGGTTATGGAATTGTTGGGGATTTTAGGTTAATATGTTTTCCCCACATTTCTGATTTGGAAATTTTGGATTCTGAGAACCCGAGCAAAATTTATGGGACGGTATCATTTTAAACTGCCAGTATCGCAATCGTTATAAAATCCTTGAATAGCTTTCTGAAAAATGAGGAGGCATCAGAAAGATGTTATTTTCAACTGTGGTTGTACCTGCCTGTGATTTTTCCGTTTGGTTATTGGGGTAAAAGGAGTTTAGGTCTAATAATGGCCTTAAACTGGAGGAAATTCTTATTAATTGATGGAGTCTTCTGGTTGGGCCATACTGCGACTTGGTTTTGTTTATTTATTGAGGTAAAGGGAAATAGGTCTATTGAGAATAGACCCTCTGTTGGGAATAGGTCTTTTCATCTTTTTCTTTGTTGGGTAAGTGTTCTGGTACATTCTGGTTTTTATGCCTGCATTGCATGGATCTTCTGCTAGGTAGTGAGTCAGTAGGCATTATTGATAAACTTCCAATGATCTGAAAACTTTAGAGGAAAAGAAGGGAGGAGAAGAAGGATGGCTCTTGAGTTTCAAAAGTTTGATCCAAGCAGGCCTAGCGAAAATAGTTTCGGTGAAGCATTTTCTGAGTATATCTTCATGTATTTTTTGCTCAATCCATGACAATTTGCTTAGTAATGTGGTTTTTCGCTTCTTACTTAGTTGACCAATCTGTTAGTCTTCACTCTAAGAAGAATTACAAAACAATACGCTTACTTTGGGTGTTGACCTTCATTGAACATGGTAAGCATTTATGGTCTGAACGGGCCACAATACGAAGCTTGCATTTGTAGGTGCACATAGATCATTCATTTCACCATCAATTGGAGGATTTCATTAAGCTGTTGTGGAATCATGTAACATTGATGTTTATAATGATTATGCTAATTGTTTTCTAGCTTCTGTCATAAAATTTACAAGCAAAAGAAAAAAAATTTCTTTTTTATCATGAAATGTTTCTTCGTCTTAAACTACCAACTTATAAGGAAAGATTGGGCTGTCATTTTTGCCTTGGCCTTTCCCTGATAGCAAGTTTCTTTTGGAGTACAAGATAGTAGTTATACCAACTTACATTCCATCATCATTGTTTTATTTGCTATAATTTGGATAAAGCCTACATTACATGTAAAGAAGCAACAAACATACATTATAGTCGATGCATTCATGTATTATGCTCAGAATCTTGAGTTCCCTTGAGAATTTTAACTGTCATTTCTGGACACTTCATTGTTGCCTGTGTCGATTGGCAACAGGGACCTGGCTAATTTTTTGTTTTGTTACTTTCAGCTACTGAATGGGTGAAGGGGAAACAGATGGAGGAAGTCTTAACCATCAAGAATACGTAAGTTCAACTTCTGCTTAAAGTCTTTATTCCTTGAACTGATTGTTTATGCTTTACCATGTTCTATGATGTGTAGTATGTCTTCCGGTTTTTATATGCTTTTCAGGTGGACTTAATTTTATTGCTCATCATTCATGTGCAGCTTTAATCTTATTGAGTGACAGTTCTATAGGAAGTCATCCTTTTAAAATTATCTGTGGTAAATTGGTAATCTATATGTGTTCCTTGGCTTTAAGGGAACCAGTCCTGCAATTCGGTTTAGGAATGGTCCCGTGAATATTAACAATATCCATATTAGATAAGTTTGCTCACTGGTTAATATCATTTTGAAAAATTGATAGCTTTCCCCTATATCATTGCAATCCTTCATGCTTCACATTGCACGAAATACTGAATTCGGAGATATAGCAAGAAGTAGGTGTTTTGAAGCCTCCTTTCCTGATGTAGAGATTCTTATGTATAGAAACATAGGTTTTTTAAGCTTCTCATCTCCAGTCTGATAGTGAACTCATTTTGATTCATGTTAATTGATCAAAGGTTATAAGACCCCTCAACAAATTATTTAAAAATATTCAAACGTTCTTAGGAATATCATTATCCATGTCATACTCATAGGAACTGATTTCTGTTTTTTTTCCGAACAATGCAATGCTCAAGATGTGCAGAATTTGCTAGGGTATAAGGTTTCAGGATGATGTCAATATTTATGATAATGTAAGAGTGTTGTAGTCAACTTTTGGGATGTCAATATTTATGATAACATAAGAGTGTTGTGGATAGCTTTTTCAACTAAGTAATGATCAGGTAAGACTGCATTTCCCAACCAGAATCTGTTCTGGAATTCTTGGAACCAATTCTGGTCAGTTATCTGAAGATCTGACTTGAATTTGAGCATCAAGGGAACCTGAAAGCAACTTGGAATACTTCCATAAACTGATCTCTGCTTTTTCTCACAGCGAAAGACAGTTGCTCGTTACTACATGTGGTTGTGATTCATCGTTTTGCCATCTGGCTGGCATAACTATCTGAACATTTATTTTGAGTTGAGTGTTCTTGATTGCTTTTCACAATCTCAAGGGAAAAGGACAAAAATGATTATAATTAGACAACATTGATAAAGATGCTAAAGAGAAATTTCTTTTACAATAATAGTACGATTCTATCTAATTTTGGTCGGCCCCACTTTGTGTCCCTATTGTTACATCACCTTTCCTAGAGAAACTAGCATCCATCAATCAAGTAGCAGACATATTATAAAAAATCAGGCTATGTGACAGAAAATCACTGTATTGGGGAGAACTATGAACAGTTCTGCTTTCCAACTTGGTCTTTAAAACTAAGGTGGACTTCCTTGAAGTATGTTTATTTAATATGGGGGTTAGTCTAGGATTCTCCTATATCCTTGCCAAAAACCAGGTTCTTTTAATATATGTTCTTTTTTGCGCAAATTTGGATGATTGGATGGCATTGGTTCGTGAATCTTCTGTATATGGGCTGTTCATGTTTATGAGAGATAGGCTATTAGTTAGCTGCCAAGGAAAGTAAAATAATTACTGCTTTTGTTTTTCTGGATTAGACAAATAGTAGTTTAACTGGGATACAAAAAAAAGTGTCCTGTTTACTTGAAAAGATTGTTAAGAGTCTTCAAAGGTTCTAGGGGTGGTCACCAACAAGCTAGCTGTGAAGTTGCTAAAGATGGGATATGTAAATTGTAATTGCTATGTTTTCTGTTTATATAGAGGATGAAAATTTATATATGCAGGGGAAGTTCTGCAGTGAAACAGAAGAATGATATTTTTTTTTTGGCAGTTCCATTAAGTACATATTGATCATTCCTTGCTGAAACTTCACTGGAATAGTGATGTTTTGGCAGCTTTTGCCTTTCCAACCTGATTCTTCAATCTAATTCTTCATGAGGTTTTCTATTTTGCTAGTGTATCTTGTCTTGTAATCTCAAATATGTGGACGTGGTGTCAGTTTCATGTCAGGCTTCGGTGGCATGATAAAGACCCAAGATTGTCACATTTCAGATGCTGGAAAATTCTTCTTTAGTTACTAAAGTGCAAGAAAAATATGGACATACACTGAAAGCAGATTGGCATTATAGATAACTCTTCGACAATCTATTTTGGCCATAACTGTGGATTCTTGGTTAATTTCAAAAGTCATCCCAGTAATTATAGTCATAGTTATATTAGTATGATGGTTGTAAAACTCCTAGGTTGTATGTTATTCTGTTTTAAGTTATGTATTAACTTTTATTCTGATTTTGGTTCTGAAGACTAGCTTTATTATTGTACAAGTTTTCAACCATGTTTAGATGGTGTACTTTTGACTAGGCATTGCATATTTGCAATGCAATGGTTCTAATTTCTCTTTGAGCTGAGCATATAGAAGGTTTTGGTTAACCTTGAAATCCTGCTGGTTCCGTGTTCGTAATGATGACCTTATTCAAGTTTCTGCATTACATATCGTCAGTCGGGTTGAGCTGGACTTGGGTTTTATGTTGTCATCTAGATTGAACTGAGTCTAAGTATTTGCCTTTTGGTGTTACAGAGAAATTGCAAAACATCTCTCTCTCCCACCAGTCAAATTGCATTGCAGTATGCTTGCTGAGGATGCAATCAAAGCAGCTGTGAAGGACTATGAGGCAAAGCGTGCAAAACAAAATGGGAGTGCTGAAGCTCCACTTGAGAAAGCAGCTGATGCTTGAAGTTTCTTTCGTGGCACTGCTTTCACATTAGTAGCAGAATTGTAATTGATGTAGCACTGTGTTGCAGCCTTTTTCTGCTCCTTATCCACCTTTTTTCTGCCTCTCTGTCTCTGTCCTTTCTCCTCGCCCTTGCACAATCATATGTGCAGATCAGCTATATTTGACATGGTTTTTTGTGTGCTGAATTTGCCTCCCTATGATGTCCTTAGAAACAATATAAAATGATGTAAATTTGATATACAAAGTGAGCTACTTGGCTTGTAATAAGATATGTATGCATTGGTGTTTGTACCTATCTTCCCATGGTGTTGAGACCATTTCAACAGCAACACTCTACTGTTTTTTTTTCCGGTGACCGGCATTGCAGTAAGCCGTTTTTATCTTTCTAACAGTGAGGGGTAATGTTATTGGCATTTCAGTTGGTAATGGCACTTTCTGTGTTCATGTGCTTTTGTGAAAGATGCAAAGGAGATGGTAATGTCATTAACAATTATTCGGGTGCTATCAACAATGCAGGAAATCTATTAATGCCTATCCTGTGTTTAACAAATTTAGAGAATTTATCAAAGTCCTTTCGACCAAATTGGCTCCGAAAAATAAAAATCTGTGTACTAGAGATTAGTTACAAATTCAACTTATAAATGGCCAAGGGGATAGTTTCACAAACCTCTCCTGAGGTATATGACAATTGTAGGAAACTACCCTCTAATTTTAAATATTACAATTACACCCCCTCTTTCCAGGTTTTGAATAGCACAAAAATCCAATTTGATGATGCATGCCAAATATAGCCTATAAATATTCTAAAATGACCTCTATAAGCTCTGTAAACAAACTAAGAATGGCATGAGAAAAAAACTTCGTATAATCTTGTTTTTAAAGAAGAGTTACAATAGGCTTCTCTACAACATCAAGCATATTCAGCACAAACAATATTTTCAAGCAATTAGTTACCTTTCATAATTGAATAAACAAACAAACAATTATATTAAAAAATCATCATATTTACTAACAAATAAAAACTAAATTTTCTAGGATAGAGGGGGCATTTTTCTATTAAATTTTCAACTTTTAAAGTCTACCCTGCTTTTGATTTGTCATAATTGGAACCAGAATCTCAACATTTGGTGTTGTTGGAAGGAAAAAGCTGAGAGAGAATGAGAAAAAAGGTAGTGGTTTTGGAGCCTAATCGTACAGTTCTATTACAATGACACTTTATTTACGAAAAACGAGTACAGACTTGACTAAGGGATTTTGAGATTTTAGGTTGACCAAGTTAAATATGGAAAAGGGAATAAAGAAACTTAAAACAAGAAAGTGTGAGTGCCTTCTCTTTTACTTTTTCTTTTGTATTTTTGTATTTAAGCATAGAATAATTTTAAGAGTATGGTAGTCATTTAAACTACCAAGGGAAGTAACATAATTTTTGAAATAAGAAAGGAATTACTTGCATTTGTCATAAACCGTAGGGGAGGTTTGTGAAATTATCTTGCAACCTAGAGAAGCCATAGAAGTTAGCTACTTATAAATGAAAGAGAGAGCGGATAGAAGAAATTCAAAAAGAAATATTTTTTTTTTTTTTGAATGAGGAAGCCATAAAAGTTAGCAACTAATATCTTTTTTTCCTATTCCAAATGGGAAGTTATAAAAGTTAACTACATATTAGCTACTTCTAAACAACGGAGAGATAATAGCTGAAAGAAATTCAAGAAATTGTATTTTCTCTCCTAATTGGATATTATAAAAGTTAACTACTCATATACCACATTTTCTTTTTCAATAAATATTAGTTACTAACAAACAAGATCTTTTCTTTTTCTAATAAAAGTAAGCTACTTACAAACAATGGAATGACAATGGAGAAGAAATTCAAGTAATTGTTCATACTAAGATTTAATGTCATATGAAAAAGAGTTTATATCATAACTCAATCTAATGTGGACAAAAGAGAGTAACTTGTAATTTTCATCCTATACTCACTTAATTCCTCGTGATGGAGAAACGTCAAAACTAAAACCACTCCTTATATTTGCAGTTTATTATTGAGAGTAAAGTAAATTAACCATTTGGAATGAGTTTTTCCTCTTATAACCAGATTAGATTCGGAATGAGGAGACGATACTTTGTAAATTATTTTACTTATTTGTGCAATTCATTTCTCTAATATTTTAATAAAGAATGCTAATGTGGTTATCATTTTTCATTTCTACTAGATTACTGGAGGCCTCAGGCATTGCTTGAAAATGCCCTGAGTTTGGTTTGGTTTGTTTGGTTACTATTAATTATAAACGAAGTTTTTAATATGCATGATGGTACATATTTTCAAAAATAAACTTTTGGATGAAGAAACCGATAAATCGTAATTTGTTAAAAAAATGTTTTTAGTATAACTATGTGATTTTGTATTTTGTATTTTGGAGGACCTCACTTTAATTTTACTAGAGTTGATTCTAACATTGGAGAGATTGCCATCGTTTTGTTTTGATCCTGAGCTATAAGTAAGATGAAGATGCAGCAAAACTATATAGATAGTTTGGTTTTATAAATATTTATGTGTTATTGCTTATCATAACATTCCTCAATAGGAAGTAGATATTATCAGTGACGGACGCAAAATTTTGGCTTAGGAGAATCTTGAGGGATATTATGATATATCATAACACTTAAACATTTATGACAAGGGATTAAATCAACAGGTGAATAGACATTCAGAAAATGATAAAAAATCTTAACAAATAAAGTACATGAATTTACAATGAAAATTCAATAGATGATAATTAACAAATAAATGTTTTTAATAATAAAAGACACCATATAAAATAAAATATAAAATTAGACTTTCCACTATTTCATATCAGTACGAGGCTTATGAAATTGTGCTCATTGCTCTTTCACTTGATCAAATATATCTAATATTGAATTAGCATCAATTTCTTGAACTAATCCTCTCTCAATATATGTGATCAATAAATGGGCAAGAAAATCAAATTTTGGAGGTATGCTTATTTTGTTGTTTTATAACTTGAAATATTTCATAAGTTTGACTATGAAAGATAAAATAAACTCACAGGCCAAAATCATACAAAAATTAACTAAATTCTATAAATCATATTAAGGCTATGCAAATTAGTACTAAATTTTTAAGATACAAATTAAAAGTAAGAATAATTGATAAATTAATTATCAAAAACTTCTAAATGACAAACTTAAAATAAATATAAATGTACAAAAAATTAATGATTATGAATCAAAATATATTTAAAGGAATTGTAAAGGGGAAAAAATTAGACTTACCTTTAAGGAAAAGTGGATGTTTGAGATTAGTTGAAGGAAATTGGGAAAAATCAAAATGTTGATGCATGGTTGCTCAAGAAATTTGTTGGCTTCAGAAGTTGGCTTCAAACTCATAAATAATGCATGGTTGTTCTCTTTTTTTGTTTTTTATTTCATATAGATGATGTATAAATAGAATTATTGCATGCCATTGTTGAATTTTCTCTAATATTTTCATTTGTATCCTATTTGTATAACGTTTTCCTAACATTAATTGATATAAAGAAACTACCTTAACAAAGAAACTAAAATTTTGTTACCTTATATTATACGGAAAATAGAGTTTGTTTATTGTGAGACACTTTTTAATCTAAGGAAACTAGAGTTATTTTATTTTAGAACATTCTTTTTAAGGAGAAATTAAAGGAAATTAACACTTTTAATCTAAGGAAACTATAGCTCTTTTTATTCTAGGACACTCTTTTTAAGGAGAAATTAAAGGAAATTAACAAAACCAATGATAAATATGTTTTGGGGGGTGAGGGAGGGCAAAATTGATAAAGTTCTAGTTTAAAACTAAAACTTTAAATGTAATTTTTTGGAAAGTTTGGGGGGACGGCTACCTCTACCCAGCCACCCTTATATCTATCGTTGGATTAATATAATTACAATAGATGTTAGCGAAGGTGCATTTCCTAATAATAAAATCAACTTCCAAAGTAGTCTAAGATAGGGAAATGAAAAAGATATGCTTGTTTTGTTTGAATGGTGAACTAAAAACCTAGAGTTCATTTGTTTCATGTATTAACTTAGCAGCAAAAAAATTTGCATACCTTGTTCATGGGTTTGAAGAGTTTTGATAGCATGCATTGTATTTACACCATTAGTGATTGTTTAGATACAATACAGTAGAATAACAATTAGCTAAATTGGACATGATAAACTATCTCAAACATCTAAATGCATATATCGTAGCACCTCCCTCATGTTGCTTATACGAATTGAAAGGAAAGTAATATTGAAGTTAAAATATATCTTAGAGGATATGATAAATATATTTTATGCAATTTAACTTTCACAGGAATGTCATATATAAAGAAAACATTGAATTCTAAAGTTAACTGTACCAAGAGAAACACTTGATGAAGTCAATACTTGACTTGAACTATTTTTAATAGATATAATTTGGAGATCTCGCAATTGTTCTTTGGTTTGTAACAAATATAATGGTTCTTCTACCATCAATTATTCTTTTATTTTGACACTATGCTGCAATTTAAATTACATCACTCCCATCGCACTAATTCTCCACATAAAAATAGATAAATAAGCAAAAGCCTGTTGTTTTAATTGATGAATCCAAAGTGATCGATAGGGATATCGGTCAAGTGACCATGAGATCCCTAGTGTGATTTTAATCACTTTTTTTTTTTTTTTCCATTTCTTCCTTGTAAGATTTGAAGTCTCTATTACGACAAAATTTTTAAAAAAATGACGAAGTGTGGTTATTACCAAGCAAGATACTTGTAAACTCCAATGTGCATCCCAGCAATCACCAATTTAAGGTATATATAGTTCATCATGGTATAATTAAGTAGATGCAAATTCATGAGTTGAAATTCTAACACTTTAACCATGGTCATTTTGAGTTTGTATGACAATTTTGAAAAGTTTTATTCAACATTGCAACATACTTTCATTAAAACTGAGAAAAAGCTCGCTTAGTGAAACTTCTGTATATTTTGTTCCATCTTTCATTACTATTATTCAATAATAAGAGATGAATTCATTATATAGAGAAAGATGAATCCAGTCTACTTCATCTATTAACAATTATTTATTTTTCCTATTCAAGGAATGTTTTAAGGAATTAAGTCATTTAGACTCAAATTTTAACAAAGCAAACAATTCTAACGGGGCCTTTGTTTAGGCAAAATCATATTAGTTAAATGTGAATTCAGAGATTAACAAAGATTAGAGTCAAGAAGACTCCAGCAACTATATATTTTTTGAATTTGTAATCTCTTTATTACTTTTCACCAAAAGGAAAATAATGAATGTGGTCTCTTATCT